TTTTGGCTTATACATTGGTTTGATTTCTCAGATTAGAATGGAATAATCTTGATGGTGGAAACAATTTATAGTTCTTTAAATCACTACAACACCAAGTATGTAGCAGGTTCTCTATGAATAGTTTAATTCATTGATGGATTTTTAATGCAGTCAGGAATATTAAATACTTATCTTACTTGGTCTTCCCTTTCCTCCATGCCTAACAACATATTCCACGTTCTATCTTATCCATCATGCTGTAATGTTAGCCATGAGCAGGGGAATAATCATTTCCATTTCTGATTTACAGAAGAGAATGTTACTGAAGTTTCCTTGATGGTGATGGCACAAACTCTTAAAAGATTTTCAACAGAGGCTTAGCTGGTGAAGATCCAGTGAGACCATTCAAAAACTTAGCTGTTGAAAAGCCAATGAAACTCCATAATAAATTGACCTCCTATGGCATGGGCTGCACAGACAGGAATGTTGTAAAGCTTCAGTATGTCATTTGGCATTATATAAAGTCACGTATTTTCCCACTTAGAAAACTGTTTTTTAAAAATCTGACTGTGTGAAGGTAGTAAGTCTATTTTGGTGTTATACATGTGATTTTCTGACTGGTACAATATTCATGCTTTGATTTTTGTCTTTATTGACTGAATTAATCATAGTACAATATATAATTGAAGGGATTAATATTAAGGAGATGGCAAAAACTTTAGGGAGAAAGCTAAAGTTAAAACCACACAGATAATTTTTCTTTTAATTCTATTGACCAGTTGTTTTGTTGTAATTTAGACTCTGACATAGGCAAATATACTCCTTTCAGGGCTTCCCGGGTGGCGCAGTGGTTGAGAGTCCGCCTGCCGATGCAGAGGACACGGGTTCGCACCCCGGTCCGGGAAGATCCCACGTGCCGCGGAGCGGCTGGGCCCGTGAGCCATGGCCGCTGAGCCTGCGTGTCCGGAGCCTGTGCTCCGCAACGGGAGAGGCCACAACAGTGAGAGGCCCGCGTATTGGGAAAAAAAAAAAAAATATATATATATATATATATGTGTATATATATATATATATATACTCCTTTCATGTTAAAAGATTATGTGAAAACAAAGGTCATTCATTCATTCATTCAGCAAATCATCTTCTCTATTACCCTTGTAGGATTTATAAATGTAAGATGGTGTCTATATGGTTCCGTTTGTTTCTCGAGTGAGCCACAGTGCCTGTCCAAACTCAAATGCATAAATGCTATGTATAATGTGAAATCTCAGTAATTATCCATTGACAAACTATGAAGTTCAACAACCTATTCAAGGATTTTATGCCTCCCCAAATATTTCTTCCACACATGAAAAATATATGAAAATAACACATGAATGTTAGAACGATTGTAGTTGAAGAGTGTATTCATTTCCCTGAGG